CTGGACAAGATATGCACATGCATACAGACAAAAGTGCCACAAATTACAGTATATATCTCCTATGATTTACTTCTGTGTCAATGGGGGGGGGGCTCCCCAAGGGGTTGTTAGATAAATCTGAAGGGTTGAGAGAAGATTAACTGGACATGAAAGAGAAAAAAACTGTTCTGTGACACAAAGTGGTCTCCTTTTCTGTAGTAGTTGCTCTTTTCTTGTGAAATACTGGACAGTTTGACCTCCTCCGGCCTCCAAGAATTACAGTCTGACATGCAAAAAACTCACAGGCATAAACAGTGTGAGACACAGAGTTTGCAAGACGATGTTTAATTTTAACAGGTCAGATGCCAAAAGTTTGGAAGCCACTGCTCACTATTGTGACTTGCACAACAGTTGCAAAACAAACAGCCACAGTGACACACATTCACAGCCAAAAGTATGTGCCGCACTGTGGGCTGCTGGCATGCTGACCCACGCAACCATGTGGGTTTGATTAGAGCAGAGGAGATGGCAGCATTTAACTTCATACATGGAAACGAGAGGCGGAGAGGGAGACCAAAGAGCAGAGAAGAAAAGATAAGAAAAGAGGAACTGAGAAAGAGAATGGAGATTATAAGTCGATTTCACGTGCGGGAGCGTGCCCTTGTGTGTTTGTGACATTGTGTGTGTACAATCACAGCTTGCCAAAATCCCAAAAAAAAAAAAAAAAAGCGGGGGCAAAAGTTCCTTGTTTCACGGCAAGACGAGGCCAGCTTTGTGTGAATGCTGGAAGTACAGGACTGCTTTGTCTACATGCATGTGTGTGTGTGTGTGCGTGTATGCACTCAGTTCCCCCACATGCGTGTGTGTTGAAATCTTCCTCCACCAGACATTTGTTACTCATTCGTTATTATTCTTGGGTAAAACCGTATCTTACAGGAATCAAACAGAAAGAGTCAGACGCAAATCATCACTTAATATCCTGCCCACATACATCATCATCTTTACCCAGGAATTGTTATTTTAAGCATCAGTACATCAGAGTGGACTCTCTCTCTCTGTGTGTGTGTGTGTGTGTGTGTGTGTGTGTGTGTGTACATGAGTCGAGCGGAGTCTCCTTGTGTACATGAGACTAAACCTCCAGATGCCTGGGCAGTTGCACCCAGACGCCTGTATTACTCACACTCTATTCCTTTTGTCCTTCACTCCCCCTCACTCCCTCCCCAACTCCTAAAATCTCCCTTCCCTCCCCCTCGAGTCTTTGTGGTTCTAATTATCGCGCTCATTTGTTATGAGTTGGTCTGGACAGAGGGAGAGCGAGAGAGAGGTTGGATTAGGAGGGAGAAGAACTGAATCAAAACATTTTTTTTTTTTAAATGGCTGTTTTTAATTTGGTCCCATTCATGTGTCCGTCTCCTCCAAACCTCCCTTCTGTTTTCGCACTTTTTCCACTCTGTGGCCACCACCTACAGTTTAACGAGCCCATGGGCCCCTCTGAGGTGCGACGTGACAACGGCACTGTAAAACAGCATTGTACAGGCTGAATGATGCTGAATTGCTTTACGCTCAACAGGAAGATGGAGGACAACAGAGGGGGAAGAATTGAGAAGAAGAAGAAGAAAGGGAGAAAAGGGAGGTTAAATACGTAAGGAGAGAGGAAGTCAAGTAGATAGAGATGTTCATGATGGAGGTTGTGTGAAGTACAGTGAGCCAAAGGGGATGGGGAGAAGAGGTGGAATAGAGGGAAAGCTGAGAAGAAAAACAAGCGCTGGTTCCCATACTTACCCTGCTTTTCACCTAATTTTATGTCCATGTGTTTTGTTTTTCTGAAAAACCACCCCAAAAAGTTCAATAAAAGTGCAGCCCCACGTTTTTTTTTGTTTTTTTAAATTTTTTATCATGTTACTCCTCCTTCTTGCATCCTACTGCTCTGCCCCTCCACCCTAACACCGCCTCTCACTCTGCACTCATTCTTTTATTCTCCCGTAGCCTTTCCTCTTTGACCCGAGTCAACGATTGTTGTGCGCTTTTGCTTTTTCCTCAGCCGTGATTGTTGAGTGTCAGCATGTGTGCGTTCAGCAGACAGTGTTCTTGAGTTTGTGCATGTGAATGTGTTGATGCTTATGTGTCCGAACGTGTGCTTTTGTACAAAGTGACTGTGTGCGTGTGTGAGACCATATAATGATGTCATGGGATAGGAATGGCTATAGTTAAATACTTCACTGGAGGTCAACCTCTGGTCACTGTTACTGTATGTGACCAGTGTGGGCCCCTAAAGTCTCCAGAATTACCTGAAAAAAAATGGTGACATATTTATGTCTTTTATTGTTTTTTTTTAATTTTCTTGAATAGCACTCAGCAACTTAGCATCATTCCCTGGTGCCTCTGGGCAGAAAGGTTTAGGTGCGTCCTGTGATTCCTTCATGATCCGATGACTTAGCCAGCAGTGTTTGAGAAAATGAAAGGATAAAAGAAAATTGGAAAGCTGAATTATGAATAAAGAAAACATGTATTTCTTGTCTCTGCAACAGAATCACGAGGCAAAAGATTACAGAAGCGAACTGCAGAGTAGTAGCAAGTAAAATGATGCACTGTGGCAGAATGGAAAGTTTTACAAGACCAGGGCTGCATTTCTTTCCAAAGGGATCATAAAAACGCTACTACCAGTCGATGCCTGGAATGTCACTGTGCAACTAAAAGAATTTAACAAACATTTTGTCTGTGAATTTTAAACGTGCTCCAGCTGCACTCTAGGAACCTGAAGCAAAAATAAGAGCTTGTTGGTGGCTTCGAGTACTAAAGTTTAATCTCTCATCTTATTCTTGAGTGAGACTAACATTTTGCTAGTTTAGTTTCGCAATATGTGGTGTTTTTTCCACTGGGAACTGGGTGTATAATCAGCTTTGGAAGCAAAGACAGGCAGGTTAGGTGCCTCAGAAAAAGCAGTGTTCATAAAGAATCAAACCACAGTAATGAAATGTCTGCAGATCAAGTGCAAAATACAAAAAAAGTTATTGGACAGATGGACAGTTGTCGTCAAAGTCCAGGTTGCTCAGGCTTCACTGTGGTCCTGGGACTCCAGCAGTTAGTTTTAAGTAACTTTTCTGCCATCTAGTGGTGAAAAAGCGGCACAGTCACATCTCCTGACTCAGACCTGGAACTTTTTGGCTCAGTTGTTTCGGGAAATGTCTGGGCATGTGCAGCTAAGGTGACCTACTGTAACTAATCAAACTATTGTTATTAGTGTTTATTTCTGTTTGGTGCAAACGGCTTTGAGTTACTGCACACAGAGACCCACTCAAATCCCCGCAGGCGCAGGTGCAGTCAGAAGACACGCAAGTTAGTCCAGAAAACTGTTGGAAAACTGTGTGTGTGTGTGTGTATATATATTTGTGTTTCTGTCTCCGTGAGAACATTTTTTTCAGAGAACAGGTCTCCTGTTGTTCCAGAGCTTTTTAAGGACCAGTGTGAAAAAAAACACGATTCTTATTTTCACACTATAAAATAAAATTTCTGCCAATAGATACCAGATGATCACAGATCTCAGTGCCTACCAATTTTCTAGGGATTTCTAAATGCAGTTGATTGAACAGCAGCAAGAGTGGACAAATGCCGAAAAATATACGCCCTTACTTCAGGGACACGCCTTATCTGAGACAATGCTATCACTAATCACTTTGTAACTCTTTTACAAAGCAAAGGTTTGTGAGTCCAGGCAAAGCGGGTAACTGGCCTGGGAGCTGCAGACCACCAGGGGGGCCAAAGGCTTGTTTGGTGGTCATTTGTGAAAATGAGTTTGTTAATATTGCATAGGGCTGTCTATTTTAATTCAAAATTCAAAGTGTTGTTTGAACATGAGAAAATTTAATATTTAAACTGTAATGACCTGTATAATGTTCAGTCTATAGGCGCAACTAGTTGTAGTTTGCTTTGTGGTCCAGCAGAGGGAGCCAAAGAAATTCAGCTTGACCTTTTTGCATGCCCTAGTTACCTGTCACTAAACTCAGCTAATAAATACAAATGCAGGAATGCATAAACTGCATACATGGTGCATGTTACTAAATCAATCTGTGCTTAATCAACTTACCACAAACGAATCACTAATTACTTACTAATACATAAACAATGTACACAGAAAGGGAGAAATTAGGGGTCAACCGGGGCCCATTGCTCATTTTTGCCAGCCAGTGCCCAGTAGGTTAATCCAACCCTTTTATTTCTTTTGGCTCACAACAAATTTGTCATTACTTCACCATCTGAGTGTTGACAGTCAAAGTATGTGAGGACAGCATTTTGAAGCTAATTAATTGTGTGTGATATGGTCTGATGCTCTAATAAGCTAAGCAAAGAAAAATAATGACTTGAATTTCTTATAAATATCTTATAACTTATGTCATTGGATCTTTTAATCTTTGCAGTTTCATTGTTGTTGTACATTGACATTTGAGTGTCCCAGTTATAGATCGAAGTCATTACATCTTTCCGGATGTTGATTTTCGTGTTGAATCAAATCTTACCAAAGCATCCTGTAAAGCACAGCTGTGTCTGTCTCTTCTTTTGTTGGTTTCCTGTTCTTGCTAGTGTGCATATGGTACGTGTGCTAAAGAAAACCTGAAACAGAATCCTTACGCAGTGTTCCTCTATTTCTATTTGCATGAAATTACTCACTGTTTGTGAATTTGAGTCATTGTCTCTCAGTACTGACACCCTGATAAAGAAGTGGTTTTGGTAGAGCTGTAATGTACATTGTGTGTGTGTGTGTGTGTGTGTGTGTGCGTGAGTGACAGTACAAACATCTACAATACAGAGCAAACATTTGTACAAAGATCCACGGATGTACACACATTTAGTACAACTTACATTGATTATAGGTGGCATTTTGAGAGTTTTGTCTTGATATCTTTGCATCTTGTTTGTCTATTATAGTTTATTGTATCTGTACATATCTTTCCTTTGTGATCAGGATTAAGTTTTGACATTAATCTGTATCACATTTGATGCACTGAAAAGAAACATTAGAAAAATTAGTGCAGATGAATCTTTTATTGAATCCCTTTTCTTTGGTAATTGTATTTGTGCCCCTTTAATGTAAAATACATACAACAGTGACACATACATTGGCACAAGTTTATAACAGTAGGAACCTTTGTTACAAAGATACATTTAAAAAAAAGTGAATTGTTCCCAAAAATACATTGTTGATCTGATGGTGAATTTTTAAAACTTTCCAAATTAAATTTCAAGACATTAAAAGGTTTTGCTGAAATGTGTTCAGGAGAGAATGTCCTCTCATAAAAGCTTCATTGTCTTATAAAGTTTCTCAAGTAAAAAAAAAAAAATTGCCACAAATAATAACAAGAAGAGCAGATAACAACCAGAGCCACGGCATTTTAAAGCTGGGAGCATGATCTCTAGTTTGTGGGTCCTGGCAGCCTTTGGCGTTGTTATTTGGCTTTAAATTATCAGGGTTTCCCTCAAAATGGACTGGCAGGCACTGATTGTCCAGCTCATCGCAGGCCAAGATCAGATGTTTGTTCTCCTCTCGGACACTCCTGATGCCGCACGTCCCCTGTTCACTCCTCACCGTGACAAAAGTGAAGGACTCCCGGCTGATGCACAGGTTCTCCTTGTACCTCGTTCCCCCTTTGTATGTGCACACATCCTTCACCCTCTCCAGGTCTTTTGGTTGGAGGAAGGACTGCGTGGGTCTGTCACAGCCCCCGTTATTCCTGATATACTTCTCCCATTCGTTCTGGTTGAGAGAAGTCGGAGTGCCAGAGCGAATGTGGCGCTTGACAAAGGTGTTGTAGCCGTTGTTCCATCTGGAGAGCTGGCAGGGAGCGTCGTTTTTAGCAAACGTTTGATGACCCAGCAGGAGGCAGGCAGAAAGAGTGAGAAAAGCCCTGAGAGCAGCCATTACCCAGCAGTCCTAGAGTGAAACAAAGACTACAGAAGTTTGAACAACTACACTTTACAGCCTTTTTTCTGTTATACCAAATAACTGACATGGCCCGTGATAAAGTAAACACTGTGTGCACACGAGAGCTGAGTTAGACAAAGACACAGCTGTCTGACTGTCTTTTTTTATCACTTAAAACCAGAAGAGGACGTAGAAAACAGCTGTTTGATGAGAGAAGTTCCTTACCTTGTTTTGGCAGCAGTGAAAGCCTCTGTGAGCTATAAGTGACCTAGAGCTCCAAAGGTGTGATCTTTTTTTTCTGTTCTTCAGTTGCGTTTCTCCATTTCACTTCCTGTGTGTGTGAGCAGGAGTGGCCTAAACTGTTTTGCGTTTGTGTGTGTGTGTGTGTGTGTGTGTGTTAAATCTGTCCACATGGTTGTGCTTTAGAGCAGCAGTCATGGTGAGCTGTGATCCAGTTACAGCTATAAATACATGTTAAAGATCCCCTGAGCTATTTTATGGATGCTCACTGTGTGTGTGTGTGTGTGTGTGTGTGTGTGTGTGTGTGTGTGTGTGTGTGTGTGTGTGTGTGTGTGTGTGTGTGTGTGTGTGTGTGTGTGTGTGTGTGTGTGTGTGTGTGTGTGTGCACTGCTGTTTTTTCAAATGGTAACTTTAATATATGCTTTGATCAACAGTGCTTTAATGATTATGGGATATGTGTCACTATTACAGATGGGTATTAATGAACTAAGAAACGTGGAAAAGTCCAATTAGAAAATGGTCCAGTTGTTCAGCAGACAACAATATTGTGTTTCAATTGATGCTTTCATTCATGTTTTATTGGAATTTATACCTACAGGCTTGATGTTTCCACTGCATTAACTAAATATACAATAATTATGAGTTGTACAGTATAAATAGAAATATTTTATATTGCTTTTGTATTGTATATGCTAAATATATCTAAATAGAGAGATCAAAACTTTCCAGTTAGACTTACATCTTCTTATACCACTTTTGTACGTCTCTAATATTAGGATACTTATAACTGTTTGAGATTTAATTCAAATATAAACTGGTCAGAAACATTTGACTGGTTCATCTTAATCTGAGTAAATACGAAAGAAACATGTCTCCCATTTCATATTAAGCAAACATTAACATGATGTTTAATGCAAATAGATGCAAATTAAGTTTAATTGAATTATAAGCCGTAGTGCTGTAGGCTTCTGTGTTAAAAAGAAATCAGAGACAGAACGTGCTTTCATGAGTAAAATATAGCCAGAGAGCTTCCTCATTTTTATGTCTCATTTCTGATTTCTCTGTCTGTCCAACTCCATCTCTTCATTCTGTGCAAGAACAATCATCAGTCCTCATAACATCACAATAACCATGAGTCTTATCCCTTTGTAGATTCATTAAAAAGTATTGTTAACGTACATGAAACTGAGAAATATATATATATAAAAATGAGTAAGATGTTAATTATACATCATTTGTTCTCTTCCTCCTGCTGGCCTGATTTTTCTTTTAAAATGCAATTAATGACATGCCCTAATTTAGTATTTCTCAAACCCGTAAATTAAAGATTTGCCCAGTTTATTTTAATTTTGATAAGCCAATCACGATTCTGGGACACATCAAAGGCTTTGTTTAATGTCCCCACAGTCTGCATAGTGAATTTAATTAGGTTATGCCTTGAGTTGGATATTGAAGGTTAAATTCTCCTTTAAAATGATTATCCAGAGTTTACTACATTGTTTATTAGATTCCTTGAGATAATTCAGATCTTAACTAGATCTACTGGACAAATATTTGCCAAATCTACTACGTTTAATGGTTTATTGTCTCCTTCACCTTGATTCATTCTTTGGGGTTCTTTCAAAATTCAAGCTACTTATTTTTGTTTCTCCACCTGAAGAAGATGCACCCAGCTGTTTTGAGGGTATATGATCCAGATATTGAGGCATACACAAACACAAGAAGTTTCCATTCAAGTACTTTAATGAGGTGCCCCTGTTGACGAGTTATATACAGCAAAAAATAAATCAGACAAAGATGATATATGGCACCAAATAATTTTTTTTCTAATAGAATGAACATATGTATATAAATATAACTCATCCATTTACAACACAATGTGCTAATTTAAGGTCAGAGCCATAATGTTTTGACAGCATCAGTTTACACTTCATCATTGATCTTTAATTCATTTGATAGGACCTTAATACCAAACTGTCCAACTCCAAGTGTCAATGCTAAAGTCCTGGGGCAAAAGAAAATAATGGTACTACAGTTTCAATTCACAAGTAAACAAGTCTATTATATTTAATACAGTGCAGTGTGCTTGTGTTTCAAGGCAAGATAAACAAGATGAAATAACAGCCAAACGTGGAACAAGAAAAAAACAAAACATATATTTTTTTACAAAGTATTTACATGAACCAATTGTGCTTCCCAAGCATTGCGAGAGCAAACATACGACTCAGAGCCAGCAAACTGACATATTTAAACCAAGTGCTTCACGTGCAAAATAAAATAAAAAAAAATGTCTGATACCAAGACTGCCAACATCATTGAATATGTGTTTGCGAGTGTCTGGACGAGCCCGGAGGTGGACCGTGCTGCCGGCTAGGGCTCACTTTGAGGAGACGGTGAGGGTTCTTCTTTCTTTTCTCCTTCAGATGTCGATTTCAGAGCCATGTCTTGTTTTTTCTCTTTTGCTTTCTCCGGCTGCTTCATCCTGAAACATCAAAGGGAAAAGTTATTCCTACTGAGTCATCCCGTATGCTGTCGCTGTAGTTTGTGATGTTATCCAGCAGAGGTCCTTGTTTGTTAAAGAGAACATGGACGGTTGTGCATACTGTAGGGCTCTAGTGTAAAATAACCTGTGCCCTGAGTGTTGTTCAGTTACCACCAAAAGATGATTTAAAGATGTTAAAGTGTTGCCCACCGAGACTGCGACATATTACATGTTAAACAAATGGATGAATAAGTTCAAGAGGGAATAAATGTGTTAATGTGGATGTGGCTTTTCATGTTTCAGCTGCGATGGAGCCAGAATGTCTCATGTCTGCATCCAGTGAACATCGGGGGTTATACTATACTGTATATGCACTGCATCGATAGCCAGCAAAACAAAGAAAACTTCAAGATTAAAGGATTATGGATTAGGAGTTTTCTCTGGATAGACTGATGTTAAAGAATTTCTAAACACTGGGAATTCACTGAAAGTTTAGAATTTAAATATATACATATATAATGTACTATTTTCCTCAGTCTATGGAATTTCTTTAAGCACTAATACTCTGAGAGAGGTGTTAACGTCTAGTCCAGTCACTATGAATGGGTGGTTAAAGCAAAAAGATGTAGTCAGGAATCTAACTCCTAGAAGTCGAAGTTTTGAACGGTGACCTTTGCATGGGAGCAGGCCGGTTACTGGGTAGGACGTCCCAGCTAGAGGTAGAGCTGTCGCAGATCAAAAGACAGAATCACATGACCAAAAACAGAGAGAAAATATTGGATTTAACATTAGATAGAAGGATTGGAGGTGACATTTTAAGTAATTTCCCACAGCTGATTGGCATTATGAAAGCCAGTGGTTCCCAAAGTGGGATGTTGGGGCCCCCTGTAGGCTCCCTGAGAAGCATCCAAGGGACGCCCAGAAAAATTAGGAGTATCATAATCTCACTGTGATCTCAGTTAAAGATTGAACATAGAGAGATTGCAGGAATCAGAGGTCTCATACATCCAACAATGAAACTTATAGTTCTGTCCCCAAAGCAACATTATGCAAGCATTGGTTCAAACCTCCTCCACCTCCTCCCGGTGGTCCAACACACCCCCAGTGCTCCAAGCTCCAAGTCCAGGCAGAGTCAGCAATGGTAGCACCAGTTAGCAGCAGTTAAAGCTATCTGTAAATCAGGAAACCCCGTAAATCTCAGAGAGTTGAGGCTGCTCTGCCAGAGGACATTTTCTCCATAAAATATAATCCAGTTGTACCAAAATCAGTGATATAGTTGGTGGCATGGGACAGCGTGCAGTAAAGCATTACACACTTCCTGGACGAGATTGTACCCAACCTGGCAACCCAAGATACGTAGTGCAAGAAGAGGTGTTCAGGGTACCAAACAGGAATGAAAGTGTCGGTGTAGCATCAAAATGATTTTGAAGTTGTTATTTTAGGATCACATACTTGCATAGTGTTGCTTTAAGGCTCAAGACTCACACATTGATAACTTTGGGAACCCTTGATCAGAGCAATGAAAAGGTTAAATCACTGACTGGTGGGACATACTTTCATTAATTACTGGTAATTATGAGAGAAAACAGTAAGAGTATTGGTAAAGAGCCATGTTATTGCAGGAGAGGTCAGACAATCAGATTATCCTCAGCGCTGATCTTAAGGTTGCTTTAATGGTGAAACCTTGCAAAGAGCATTATACATTTACTGTGAGTCCAACCAACACTGTTTCGAGGCCAATACCAATGTTTTTCATAAGACAAAATCATTCCGTAACATCGGCCATGCCAATTTATTTGTTAGACTCTAATTTATATCTCAGATGTTCTTGCAGTCCACAAACACGACTGTGGGTACACAGGGTTCCTGTTCCATAAAAGGGTATTTTAATAAGGATTAAAAATGCTATATTGTGTTTGTTTATCGCGGTATTAATCCAAGATCTGCGCTTAAGGATATCTGTCAAGCACAAAAAGAAGAAGTCACAAAAACAACACTGTGAGTGCTAGTTGTGCATCCTTGTCAGTACTGAGATCAGGTAAACCACCTGTTTACCACGACTGTTTCACGGTGGAGGACTGTAAAAAATCTGCCAAGAGATAGGAGATGGAGAATGAGAAGAGACCGGATACATCCACTGCGATAGCTCCCACAGTTTCTGAAGATTACCCAGTTAAACCAGGCCGGTGTCTGCCGGCAAACAGGCCACTGTCGTGACTGAGCAACACAACGGCTTCTTACCGTATCGTCTTCACTATGAAGCGAATGATTACTGCCAGACCTACACAGCCACACATCACTCCTATTACTATGGCTGTGACTTCACCTGCAGAAGATAAAAAAAAAAACCAAAGAGGGCACGACAGATGAAGAAAAACCTACAGAAATATAATAAATACAATAAACCCGAGTTAAATTATTAGAAATATTGACGTCATCAACAGCATCAGCTACAACGTGCAGGAAAATCACATGTAGTCTTACCAGACGAGAGCTCCTTCCCTGATTCTACAACAAACAAAAGATTGAATAAATCATTAGAAAAAGCAGCGTATTTTATGCTTTCTGTTTTATACTGTCACACAGCTCATACAAATTGATTTGTTGGTTTATCAGAAGAGAATCTGCTGTTCAGCTGTTTGAAACTGT